TACCTGTGTGCATGCATGCATACATTTTTATTTCATTGATGGGGTCTTTGTCAAACTGAGAGAGAGAGCTTTCTCAGCTAGCAGTAACCCAAATGTATCTGTACCAGTTAGGGCCTGGAGATTGCGTGTTAGATCCAACTGGGAGCCATGAGTATACACCATGTCTGGGCCCGTTCCAAATGCTCTGTTATTTGGATTGAGACCAGCGCATCAGTATTTTCCTAAAGCTCCTCTGTTGGTATGTATGTGACTGTGGTTGAGAACCACAACCCATTGACTACCAGATGGAACTTACTCCCCACCAGCGACAGACTAGGATGAAGGCCAGGATTCCCTGACTCACCTCTGCTCCGAGCAGAAACACCCTCCTGCCCACCACTGGGGCAGAGTTAGATAAGCGTTCTCTGCCTCTTTCCGGAGCCTTTGCTTTCATCTAGCTCTTCTGGAACATTTGTCTCATTCCCTCACAAGTCTCCTGGCTCCTGGGATGTATCGCTCCCTGCCCTGAGTGTGTGGGCTGCGAGGCAGACCGTGAGCAATATAAATGAGCCTTTCTAATGGGTTCAGTGTTGCCAAGGGGAGGGCAAGCAATGGAGCAGAACAGTGTTTATTTCCAACTGAAAACCACCCCTCAAAAATGTGTGTGGCAGACTAGAACCTTCCTCTGGCTATGGATCTGAAAGACACAGTTTGTTTCCCATCCCAAGATAGTGTGACAGGGTCACCACTTCCCTGAAATGAGTTTTTGATTTTCAGCAACAATCTAATTAGTCTTGACTGGAGCCTGTTCTTTTTTCTGCCTGTGTGCATTTGCCTTTAGGATCAGTAGCTGGCAATGAATACCCACTAGTACTGAACACCCAGATTACCATAAGGGCTGAGCTATTGTCCTGCTCCAGATGCCCTCACAGGCAGAAAGAAATGGAAAGGGATGTGCTGCCACAGCAAGACCGTGAGCAGCCAGCAGGAAGTCCAAACTCTGTTTCAGAGTTAGCTTCAAGGGTCCTGAAAGGACGCTCACATGTGGCCCTACGGTGGAGCATGTGCTTACTGCGCGTCAGGACCTTTGGTTCAGTCCCAGCACACATGCACACAGACACATGCATACACACTCTAGGAAATTTTGACTTAGGGAAAAGGGACCCCCAAAAGTCCCAGTTATTTTTGGTCTCCCAATTTGTTGCAAGACAGTGTTGGAGATGGGGCAAAATTTGATTTCAACCTTTCAGTGATTAATAACTTTAACAACTGGCATTTATTAAAGTCTGCAGTGAGTGCTTTATGCTTTTCTCAGTGGTTCCTCAGCACCATTGTATATGTATTTAAAAAGCAGGTTACAGAATCAGAAAGAAGCCCAAAGTCCTTTGGAAAGTAAATGGTTGAACAAAAATGCAGACACTGTGTTAGATTCCAGACTCTGCACTCACCCTACTGCAACACAAGCCATCTGCATATTCTGCAGTCTTAACAATTCGTTAGGCAGCTACAGCACAGGACAGCATTGCATCAGAGAGTAACAGACAGAATTCTACCTTCTCAGCACTCTGACCTATTTAAAAGGCCAGTTTCAGCCAGGTGGCACATGCCTTTAATCTGAGAAATTGGGAGGCAGTTTCATAGTATGTCTCTATGAGTTTGAGGCACGCCTAGCCTACATAGTGAGTTTCAGGATAGCCAGAGCTGCAAAGAGACATCCCATCTCAAAACAAAAATCAGTTTCCAAAAAACATTTACCTGCCAAAATAATGTCACTGCCTAGTGCATTACCTACAGTAGTGAGGGAAGCAAACTATGGCCCATGTATCATGCTAATACATGAAAAGAAAAAATATCAAGAGAATTGTATTTGACAAATAAAATTCCTGTGGAATTCATATTTCAGTGTCCAGAAATTGATTTATTGGAAGTAAACCATACATTTTAGTTCCTGCATTATCAGTACATGACACCTGCTAGGCCACAGTCATGGAATGAGGTAGCCACAGCAAAGACTGTAGCCTGTAAGCTAGTCTAAAGTACTTACTGTGTGCACCTTGACAGCCAAAGCCTGCCAGACACCTCCCAGTAGGAAAGATGGGGTAACTAGGCCAAACTGGCAGTGTGGTCAAGAGATTTCGCCCCACTCTCACCCTTCCAGGTCCTAACCCAGCACTTAGTGCCAGCCAGCTCCACCTTCAGAGAAAGGGGAGGCAGCTTGGTAAGGCTTGTTGTGAGACCCTCCCACCCACAGCTAGCCCAGCACCGTTCTCATCACAGGCTATGTGAAGTAGTTAAGGACACATGTGCTTGATTGTGTCTTAAGTATCAACATCGAAGTGGCAGACTAGAGATTCAGAAATGGAGACACGCCCCCTAAAACCTCGTGCCTGACAGCACTTTCACGTGTGTCTTTATTAACTCTTCAGCACTGTCCACTCCCTTATTTGAGCACGGAGTCTGTGTCCCTGCTTCCATGGTCTCTGCACACCACTGGAACTGTGCACTCTCTAAGATGTTAGGTGTTGCAGCTGTGAAACTATCATTTCACCCCAAAGAATTGAACTCTCAATGTGGAAAAGAAAAATCACCAAACACTAACAAATTGTACCTTTTTTTTAAAGCAGCTCAATTCTAACTTGGTAAGCAATTAACATAACCCATTGCCATAGATGGGATCCTGATAAGGAATAGGGTTTGGGGGGGGGGGACTGGAGAGATGGCTCAGTGGTTAAGAGCACTGGATTTTCATCCAGAAGATCCAAGTTTGATTCCTGGCACCTTCATGGTCTTACAACCGACCTATGTAACTCCTGTTCCAGGAGATCCAATACCCTCTTCTGGCCTCCACAGACACTAGGCATAGACACATGTGCAGGCAAAGCACCCATACATAAAAGAAACATTTTTTGAATTGAAAAGTCCCACTAGGCAAACAAACCCCTAGATGGAACAATAGAGAAGAGATGGAAGGTACCCGCCTGGGCAGAGTTTACTGGTGTGAGCTCGGAGCACTCCATCCTGAGAGGCACGGAAGAGGCTAGCCAGCGCTGCTCTGAGTTGGAGGAAAGGCAGGTCAAAGACAAACTTTGCTTTATAATTCTTTAGATTACAGTCTTATTGGTGAAGTGTGTAGATCCTGCCTGCTCTTCCAGAGTCATGGGGAAACTGAATGGTAGCAGGAACCCCCAGCATTGCAAAACCCATTGCAGACACTAGTACTTCCATGGCTCTTATTCCTGGCTGCTCTCAGAGGCCCATCTGCGAGGGAGCAGGGCGGTTCCTATTCTTTTGTAGCTACAAACAGAAATAGAAAGATGTCAAGTGGTTTCTCTAGAGCAGTGGTTCTCAGCCTTTCTAATGCTATGATCCTTTAATATAGGCCTTCATGTGGTGACTCCAACCATAAAATTATTTCATTGCTACTTCATAACTGTAACTTTGCTACTATTATGTAAATATCCGATATGCAGGATATCTGATGTGACCCCATGAAAGGGTTATTTGACTCTCCCCAAAGGGTTGTGACCCACAGGTTGAAAACCTGTTGGCTAAAGTAATGTAAATCATTGAGAGTGACCACTCCTGAATTTGTTTCTGTGCTACAACTGCTTTGGAGTTTTGTTTTCCATTCCTACCTGTAATGAAGAGATAGCCTTTGAACTTGAGCGCATATGGTTATAATTTCATCACTAGGCTCTAACTAGCTAGCTGCCCTGGACTAGTGATGGACATATGTTCCCTAGTTTATAGAGATAAGGAGAACAGCTGCAGCACAAGCTCCTGAGGTGTCAGTGAGGCCTTCTACCCCCACCCCAAAATTGTAAATGTTGTTTTCCCTTTGTTCTCGGGCATGGGCTTTGGGGGCATGTGTACACACATACGCACACACATGTTCATACACTTGCTCATGATTGTATAATGTAACCTGCATCTTCCTCGTGAGGTTGGGGAAACAAAGATCATATTTCTTCAGGTGCATCATAGATTCCCAACTTTAATAGTAATGCCAAGAGCTCGAACTACATGGCCCATGATTCCTGAGCCCAGGCCACCCTTTTCTGGAAGCCTTGCTTACTGTATGGATCCTGAAGGTTGAAGTGACTGATCAATGAAAGAAAGGGTGTCTGCATGACAATGAGGATACAGATTTCTGTGTGTGAAATGTATTTACCTTCTAACCCCAATCTACCAGCAAGGCCTGCACATGGACTGTAGCTCATTAAGATTTTTCAGATGTACAAAATATCTGTCAAAGTGCCTGATCACAAAATAAAGACTTGGGTGTCCAAGCTGGAACTTGCTCTTCCTGTATTCCTTGAGTTGAGCAACAGTATGTGTTGTGTTCCAAGATGGAAGAACTGACAGATGGAATTTTCACTCCGTTCCTTTTTCCATAAGCCTCTGTTTGCCAGGATTATTCTAACACCAACTGCTAGAGTGTTAGGAAAGCCCCCTGGGTCTTTGTCATATTTCTAAGTTCCCTGGATGTTAATGTTGAGAATAGGTGTGTGTAGTATGACCAGTGAGAATTTGGGTGGATTCTAGTTACCAAAGGCATCAGGACAAACTTGGTCATCTTGTGGCAAAAAGGCCAAGTTCTGTTCCTCAGCTTGCATTTTGTTCCTTATGGGGTGTGCAGTAGTGCCTTTCACTCCTAAGGGTCACACTCTCTCTGACTTCTTGCTGAGCTACTTTGGCAGTCTCCCCAGTTTCTTTAGGAGTTCAAGGGCAGGAACAATTGCAAATAGCTCCTGGCTCAGTAGAATAGAACTATAGGCTATGTGGAATATGAAGCTGGCTCAAAAGATGAGGAGATGTATTTTCCCTAAATACGTACATGTCCAGCCCAGTAAATAGAAGGATCAAAGGGCTTTATCCCCGAGCAAAAGGGTAGTAACAGCTTATCACATAGCTGTCCTAGTAACAGCTTATCACAGAGCTGTCCTCACCTGCTAGCTCAGCCTGGGAAGGTAGCGGCCATTGTGCCAGGCTCTAACACATCTTTTCCTCTGTCACCGCAGGTGTTAACAGAACTGAAATCCGACAATCAGAGGCTGAAAGATGAAAATGGTGCCCTCATCAGAGTCATCAGCAAACTGTCCAAATAGATGAGGTCAGATCTGGGAGGAGGGGGCAGCATTTGCTGCCCACCCCTCGTTTCTGGCCAAAAGAAGTGAATGTTTCCGAAGAAGGGCACCTCCTTGTGATCCTCGTCAGTCACCTCCTCTGCACTGTACATTTTCTCTGCACTCTCAGTGTCCCATTGCTCCTGCACTTGTAGCCCGAGTTTTATGACAGTTTTAACTGAAGCATGATTGTGACTATTTCAAGCAATCTGGAGAAAGCTTTGTGGGGTATACCAAGCTCAGCTGTGAACCCCCAACTTTCTGCTGCTTTGTCCACATTGGTTTTGGTACAGATATATAAGGCTTTGACCCGTAGCCTTTTATACTGACCCACTGTCCTTTGATATAGGTGAGTCTTGTGGTGGCCACTCCAGGATCCTATCTGGGGTACCAAGAGAAAGGGCAGAATGTGGGGTTACTCTCTGGACTGCCTCTGGAGCTATCGCGTAGAGTCCACGGCGGTTGTGACTCTGTTGTTCACCTCTCAGGGACTGACTTGTTTTTACTTTTCTATTGATAACCTACAACTTCCCTGACTAGTCTTAACCTCGTTTCTCCCTTTCCACAAGGCTTAGATGCTCCTGGACTCTCTTGCTCCTTTTCTTTCTGTCCTTTTATGATTTCTTCTCCCAGCCTGATGGCATAAAAGCTGGAACAGAGCTCCTGACCTCAGTTGTTGGGGCCGCTGTGGAAAATCATCACTCTGTTGCCATGATACCATGACCCCGTCCCTACACAGCTAGAGGATGACTTAGGAGTCAGCTTATTCTCATCTCCCGCTTGCTCGCTTACAGAGTGATTTTCTGGGCTCTTCAAGTCAGACATAGCAGCATACACCTACAGTCTCAGCACTCGTGAAGCTGAGGCAGGAGGATCAGGGATTTGAAGCCAGCTACATAGCAAGACCCTCTCAAGAAGAGGGAAATCTGGACTCTGAATGTTGAGCTTGCCTTGCTCCCTTTGGCTTTGTTTACTTTTCCACTTCTGCACCTGCTCCTAATGAGGAATGAAGTCACAAGTCCAGGGAGAGGGTGGGTGGAGCAGGCTAGAGATGGAGAGAGCATGTGAGGACACTTGGAACGCTGTGCTTGTGCTGTGAGACGATGGGAACTTCTGGTCGCCGCGTTCAGGGGAGAGGCAGTGCCCTTCTTAGAAGCCAGCAGGAGAGTGACTGCTGGGGTAGAGACTGAAGGGGACGATCCAGTCTATAATAAGACTCGTGGACTCTTAAGAGTGGCAACATCATCCAGCCCAGCTTCCTCGTGTTATAGGGACCCCTCTGCTGCCATAGCTTTGCCCTATGGTCGGCCTTTGGTAGCTATGCATTTAGTGCTTAAAGCTTGGGCGCCTTAATAAATAATAGAAGCTGAGGTCTGCTGCTTCCCGCCTGCCCAGCTCATTAAATATGGATGGGTGGTGGTCTCTACTTCCATAGTTCCTTCAGTCCTTCAGATGTCATGGTTTTGATGCCTGTCACATCTTGACTCCCATCCTCTAAAGTCTAGACAAAGGCAGCCCTTTAGGTTATTGTGTCTCGGTCTCTATAGAGTGGTCCATAATTCCAGCGCATAGTTAAAGTGCTAGTTCTCATGATGAGCCAGCTGATGTAGCTAATGCTTGATTTCTGTAGGCATTTGTCCTTTGGATCACATTAAAGGACAGGTCCTGTAGGGCCTCATTATTTTGGTGTTGCCAGTGATGTGGACCATTCTAACACTACCTCTGTCATTCTCTTTCATGAGGCTGCCACTGTCCTTTTCTGTGACCCTTGCAGGCTTCGTGTACTCTTAAACAGGCTGTAACCCAGGGTCTTTGTTGCAGATGAGGGCCGCGCCCACTCTGACACTCTTTGAGCATGTGCAGGGCTCTCTTTGCCATTCCAACTCTTCTGAGGAGTCTGTGTTGAGCCACTCTGTTAGGAGCACTGAGCCCAGGTTTTAGAAAGGACTGAACCACAGTGGGAAGGACCTGGCTTCTGCTATAGGAAGCGGGAAATGCCAACAACATGTCAGCCAACTGGTTCTAGAATAGCTAGGACATTGGGGAAGAAGGGATTGCTGCATTGTTCTTAGGAAAAGAAAATGGGATGTTAGGAAAACATTGAGTCTCCTCCATTCATAGACCAGGTGTTCCAGAGTTCTATGCTTTTGGGCCTTTTGAAGTCCAGGGGCAGGCTCTCAAAACTCACACCCTGGCATTAATACCTGCTGCTGTGTGTGGCCTTCCAGGAAGATTCCTTAGGACAAGTTGTTTCTAAGCTTTTCAGCCTCAGGAATCCTGGACTTCGCAGCCAAGAACTTATCATAGTACAGATGTTCCTAGGTAATTCCAGGCACTTCCTTTAGGCCACTAATTTTATTAGACAGAAAATATTGTGAATTTGGTCTCTTCAAAATGATATTGACTGAAAGCCCCCATGAAGGACATAGGCCTTCTGATAGCCAGCTAGACTCTCGGTGCTGTTCTCTTTTCCTCTGTTCTCGGCCAGTCACACACCACAGGTCTCCCCGGTGGCCACCAGCCTCACTTGCCGACTTCTTGTGAGTCATCTCATAGGTGGAGCTTAGTGACCCACTGTAAGCCGGTGGCCATGCAGGATCAGCCCTGTTGCAAGCCAGTCTTCCTGGGAAATTCAGATGGGACAAGAATGTTCTCGCTGCAGCATCGCACCCTGTGTTCTCATTCATCTGACAGCTTTGGGAGCAATGTCAGGGCCAGTCCCGAGATTCTGGGACTGGAGTTTTCCTGTTTGACTTTCAGGGGCTTCTGAGCCTTTCCAGACAGTACCTGGAAGTTCTGACTGCCAGTTTCATCCCTGTCTCTAGGGGAAGGTGGGTGGTGCACATTTAAGGGTGTTGCCTCAAAAGAATCAGAAGAACAGCTCGATCTTGGACCCACTCAGTACACTGAGTTCTCAACTGGGCTGGTCTCACTTCCTAGAACCTCCTTGTCTGTCCAGCAGTGGCCATGTTCCCACCCCCGCTTTCCCTGCTTCTGTCCCAGGCCTCAGTCTTCTAGATGTAAGCACTGTTCAGTGAGGCAAAGTACTGGGTTAGTCTGTGGGCCCTACAAAAGAGTATATTACCAGAGATGAGAGGAGGAAGTCTCCAAGCCGTGCCCTTTGCCGGCACTCTGGTTTCTGGCCCCTTCAAGGCCTCCCCCCCCCCCCCCCCCCCCCCCCCCCCCCCCCCCCCCCCCCCCCCCCCCCACACAGACAACTGTCTCCACCCAGTGTACTGACAGTGCTGGTACTCGTGACATCTGTCGGCTGCTTCAGGCGGTTGCATGACTTGAAACAGAAGCCTAATTGGGCAGCTAGGATGTTAGTGACTACTAGCTTCCCCCAACAGGTGAGCTACAGCATCCACTGCGGTCTCACAGTGAGGCTGGGCTGCAGGAGCCCAGCTGTCTTCCCTCAGGACCGCAGGGCTCTAGTCCATGTTACACGCCCTTCCAGAGGTGGGCCCCACGCACATCTCAGTTGCCATTCTATTCTGCAAACCTTCATAGTTCCCTTGACGCAGGATAAGGTGCACACAGTTAGCTGTAACCCTTGGGCAAGAATTTTTTAAGGACCCATGGGGCTTAAATTTCTGTAATTTATTCATTTCTAGAAGGATGAGAACATTTTGACTCTTAGATTTCTGCTTTTCAAATTTTCAAGATCAGTCTTGTTTTCTTCCCAAACTCAAGCTGTTTAAGATTGGGGTGTCAAGGCTGACCTCTCCTCCTTGCTGGAAAGTGGAGTTAGCACTGAAAGCAATTGAACAGTGTTGTGATTGTTTCCTTCCTGGTGGTTAGGAGCCTGAAGAGGTGGAGATTGTAGCTGGTAGGGGGTGGATAGAGCAGTATGTCACTAGGAACCCAGCCGCCTCTCCTAGATGTGACCAGCACTGCTTCTCCGTACCCAAGCAGCAGGCTTAACTTGGGATTCTGTTTGGCACCAGCTAGTTCCTAATGTTGAGCTCTGCCTTGAGCAACAAGTGTTCCACAGGAAGAGCCTAGCTTCGGCTGAGCTCTGCCTCCAAGCACTAAGCTCTCAGAAGTGGGGCATTCTGGGGCTGTTCAAGGCGGTCTTTCACAAGAGACCATGCTGCTGCTTCAGGAGTTCACAGACCCCACAAACCACATGGCATAGAATGGTGCAGTCAGGACAAACCCTGGAGGTGGGTGCCTGCAGGTATGATGGGTAAAGGCAGAGGGCAGGGTCTTTGAATGTGGAACAGGATGGAGATTGCAGACGCTGGGAGTAAGGAAGCCTGATTTCTGCACCTGGAAGTGCGTTCTGTCTCGTTGAGTTCTCTCCTCAGTTCCAGCTAAGCCTGAGAGGAGATTTTAATCAGCCTTCCTAATGGGTACTGACACTGCTCAGAGCGGTGGACTCTGTCAGGGACAACTATTGATTGCTTGTGTTCTGATTAGATTGGAAAAATAGATCAACTTCATTATAGCCCAGGAGCTGTCATTGTCACAGCTACAGAGGAATGAAGTGGTCTCTGGGGGCCGAGGAAAAACAACTGGACCCCAGCAAACCTGAGGGAAGCTGGAAGTTGTCTCCACGTCTCCTTGCAAGCTATGGTGAAGGTCACAATTGCAACCCAGTATCTGAGTTGAGATGGTGGGGGTGGGAACTCCTAAAGCCCATGCATTGATGCATGTTCTGGCCTTACCTCAGAAGACTTGGCAATGGGAGGCTCCCTTCCAGCCTGGGGTCTCACACACACACATACACACACACACACTTGCCAGGCTGGAGCTTTTTAAAAGAGGTCTGGTGTTTTCTTGATTAGAAATGAAAACTCAGAAACCAATTTTATCCAAGTGTGTAGCTCTGTCTCTTTTTCTCTTCCTGCACCAGCTTCCCAAAGGACTCCCATGCATCTGCTTGTCTCCCAGCTTGGTAATCTGCCAGAATGACATTTTGTTATTTTGCCTCTAAATTTTCCCCTCATGCTTCCAATAAAAATGTACTTGGGTGGCCCTTAAGGTATCATCAAGATGGTAGCGTATGTCCTTCCAACTAATCATACCCCTCCCCTGCCTTCCCCCACACTCCTCAGGCCTGGCTTCCACACTTGGGCTTGATGGTGCTTGAGGGACAGGTTCCCATTAATCAGCCAAGAGTCCTGGAGAATTTTCAGACACCAACAGCATGTCATTTCCCCCACCACCCACAGCCAGCCCTATTCCATTTTCAAGGCCCCTCAGAGACAAGATTTGGCTTATAGGTCTAGATTTTCGTCGCAGGGCTGTGTCTGAGACGTTCATTCCTTCTTTTCCTGGGGATGTGACTGGTCCCTGCATAAGGCAGAAATGTCTCCTCAGCACAGGCTGAGCTAGTCTATATAGAAGTGACAGCCTCTTACCCAGCCAGGAGAGAAGACCCAGAAAAGGCTGGACTATAGAGTCCTAAGAGCCTCTGATGTGCTCTTGAACCCAGAGTGAAGGTCAGAGCAGGATCCTGAACAGGGGACACTTGGGCCAGCACCAGCTTGTTTCTCTCCCAGGTGCTGTGTCTGCTGTTCTCAACCCTACTCTTCTGAAACCTCAAGCGGATCCCAGCCTAGCCTAGGATGGCAGAGTCTAGTGCAGAGTAGCTGCAGGTAAAGGCAGCAGAGGTGGGTCCAGGAGAAAGCGTCCATCCAACATGCTCACCTCACCAGTCACCTGCCTTGAGCCCTTGGCAGGTCCTCTTCCTGGCCTGACCTCGAAGCACAGCCGTGATTTCCCTGAAGAGGGAGGTAACATGCCATAACCGCTCCCTCTGCAGCGAGATGTGGCCTACTCTGAGGCAGTGCAGTTTAGTTTGGGCATCACCGTTTTTCTCTATTTCCTTCGTCCTGGTCTTGATCACCACTTGAACGCTAGCATTTTGCGTTTCCTCTCTCCACCCTTCACCCACACTTATGCACCAAATGGAGCTGTTTTCCAGCTGAGTTGTGTAGATTAACTTCAGTCAACTGTAAAGACACCTGGAGGAGGCTCCTGAGGGAGGGGAAGCCAGACTGGCTTTGTGAACTGAATGTATTTTTATGCAACTTTGAGTGGCCTTTCAACCCTGAGATGGATGGATTTGCTTTACTGATTGTTATTATATGGTATTAAGTGTTCTGTGTTTGAAAGTTTGGTAATAATATTCACATCTGTATGATGCCTGTAAACACAACAGTATTTATAAATGAACAAATAAAACTGTGTTTTAACTTTGTGCCATGAAAGTGATAGAGCTCCCATTCACCAGGCGGTCCCCAGTAGTTCCCATTGACTTAGCAGTCTCTGCATGGGCAGCCACAGTGCACAAGTCACCACATGCCCTGCCCCGGGAAGATCTCCTGGGTTGACTGGCAACCCTGAGAAGAAATCAGCGTTTCCAGGGCCTAAGGGTGGCTGTCTCATTGAAAGTGAAAAGCAGGGTGTGCAGCCCACCTGATAGACCCTAACATCCATCCTACATAGGGAAGCTGCACCCAGGGGGCTACTGATGGTAGTAGGCTCTGCAGGCTCCCAGCACCACACTGTCCACCTGGGTGAGGGTTCCTTGGGCCACTGATTCAGGACATCCAAAAATGACTTCTTACATCCAACCCATGCACATCAAGCTAACTGTGGGGTCATTCGAAGAAAAGGAGCCTTGCCCAGGGAGTTGCTCCACAGGCTGCTGGTAGGGCTGGGGAGTGGGCAGCCAGGTTTGGGTCTGCTTTCTGCCAAGTGGAAATCCTTGGTCACTGAATGGGAGGGAGGGAAGATTCTTTTCCCGTGCTGTCACCAGCTGTTTGTAGCTCAGGCTGCAAGAGGAAATAGGCATGATGTCATAGTTGAAGAGTTCAGCCCTGGCCTTGGGGTTTGAAGCTGCGGCAAAGCGTGATTGACGCAGGACTTCCTAGACCACAAACATCATTTCTATGGAGCCCCTGCTGGCTGTGTAAGGTCTGTAGGGTCAGCTTCATCTACTGGGTACCATCCTGCAGCAGAGCAAGACACCCACAGTCTTGGATCCCATGGCCCCCAGGACTGCAGTAGCCAGCCAGGTCTGGGCTCCTGCCAGCTCAAACAGGCCCTCTGCCCAGCTGCTTTCACTGCCCCCTGACCATCTGGACTGGACATGGAACACAAGCCTAGTGCATGCTGGTCCAAGACAAGCGACAGACTGATGAACTAAGTAAGAATTTAATCTTTTCTTGGTTTTGGCCCTACTGCCCCCTACTCTGTCCATAAGCATTCGGAAGCCTTAATGGTCATGGTACCCCTGCCTCGTCAGTCACAGATGGACAGCCTTCTTTAGAGAACAAGACTGGAGACTTTGTAGTTTCCACTTTTAAACATCTACACCCCAGGACCAGCAGCCCCCATGATGTCAGCATCAGACTGTGGCTGTCCCCTAAGCTCAGGTTCCCTAGAGGGAACTCACCAGTATGGGACAGCCCTTGTCCTCTCAGGAGGGTGGGCCCTGGGTACCTACCATCCACCAGAAACCCCACTGCCCTTCCCCCAAACCCAGAAAAGAATGGGCTGTGACCCATTCATGCTGCGCTAGAGGCCAGCGCCCCAAAACCAGCTCACCTCCCAGCCCAACCCTGCTGCCCCATTGGGACAACTCTATCCTCCCCCACTAAAAAAAAAGGAGAAATGCTCCCCGCCCCCAGGTTGCTTTCAGCTCTTTTCTTTAATAAGGAGACGCAGCTCATTACAAAATAACAATCCGACAGATGAGACAAGAACAGAGTCCACAGAAGGGATGGAGAGAGCAGTGCCAAGCAGAGGGGGAGGGGAGGGCTACACGTGTCCTCATGAAGACAGGGAGGGCTCCTGGTGGGGCCAGCGCACTCCAGGGTTGACGTGGGCACACTCGGGTTCTGCCCCAGCCCCAGTTTTGATGGTCAGGCTTTCAGGTCGTTATCTAACTGGCTGCTCAGAAAAGCTGGGGTGAAGCTAAGGCCCACACACTGCTCCCACAACCTTGCCACACTTCCTGCCGCTGTTCCCAGTGGGGAGTGGGGGGACTCCAGCCAACCCCAGTCTACACTGAAATGGTTGCTCCAGTTGCCCCGTTATGTCAGTAGCACAAAGGTCCCTGGGACTTGCGTGTGCGAGTGTCATGGTCTGTAAATGGCAGAGCCCCTGGTTGCCTCTGGCTTTGGCCTGAGGTCCCCTGGATTAGTAACATATGACTGCACTCCTGGGGAGTCCTGTGGGTCCCAGGCTGCTCCAGGCCTCTCTCCCCATATTGTTACCGCTTGCCATGCTTGCTCAGGCTGCCCTGGGAGCTGATGTGAGGGGCAGAGTCTAGTGCCGCCCCTCATCACCACACCCGCCACCGTGCTCTCAGGGGCATCCTGCTCTGTGGCACTGCTGGACCAAAGAGGGAGTGTGGGTGGAAAGCTTAACCCACTGCAGTTCTTGGTTTTCCCCACTGGTCACTTCTCCACTGCTCTCTGTGGGCCTTGACAGCTCAGGGAGAAAGAAGTAGGCTGGGCTAGTCTTGTTCATCCCAGGCTACGGTGAAGCCCAGTTACAGGCTGGGCTGCTGACTTCTGAGAGATCTAAGCCACAGAGCACGCCACTGCCCTGCCTACACCCAGGACAGAGTCGAGTCCCACCATCAGACCTAAGCCAAGAAAGCCAGCCAGGGCTGTCTCCTGGGACCCCACCAGAAGCCCTGAAATGCCAACTGTCCTCATGATGCAGGGCTGAGGGAACAAGAGAGGATAACGGACAGGTGAGCCCTTCACAAGTGTTCTATGGGGAGCCAGTTGGAGGGACAGGGGTGCTCCTGGGAGGAGTCAAGGGCAGCCTCCAGTAGGAGGCTCCTTTATGGCTTTTCAGTTTCTTCAAGACAGTGGGAAGAAAGGAACCACGCCACACACATGGAACATAAAGGCAACGGGACACCAGACACAGGCTAGACATAGTACACTGTGCCCCAAGGGTTAACCCTACAGACAGACATGCAGCAGACCTGCCGCAGGGCCCGTGTTCTCCAGCATCTTCCCCGGGCGAGGCTGGCACCGGGGCCAGAATGTGGTCTCCCATTGCGGACATTCCCTGTAGGGGATGTAGGGTGGGACCGAGGACAAAGACTTTACACAACACAAAATCAAGGAGCAGCCAGTTTTGTAAAGTGGGTTTGGGGTTGGGGGATCAAGGGGACGCTCAGTATTGCCATGCGGCTATTTACAGAGTTGTAGGCATGCATCTCGGTCAATTCTGCTCATGTGTATAGATAGCATCCTCTCTCAGAATATAGAACTAAATGCATGTGGAGGGGTCAGGTGAGGCTCAATGGCTTCAGAAGTTTCCTGTTTTGTTGTTGCTTAAAAAATAAAGTATATTCATATATCTTCAAGTCACAGTGTCCCCTTCTCAATATTGCAGTTCGAAAAACAGGTTAAGTCAAGTCTGTGGTAACCAGCTCTGGCCCCTGGGACTGAGAAAAGAGGGATGAAGTAGCCAGAGGGTCTATTGCCAGACAAATACAGGATTTGCCAATTAAATTTAAATTTCACACTAAAGAATGAATCACTTTATAGTACAGTATGTCCCAAATATTGCATCAGACATACTTACACTTCAAAATTATTTATCTGAAATTCAAGTTTAACCAAGTATCCTGTATTGGTATTGGCCGAATTTGGCAGCCATTACGGGGCTCTGGGACACCTCCTGCTCCCCATGGCTCTGAGAGAAGACCCCAACCAGCCTGCGGTGGGTGGGAGACAGAGCAGGGGCAAGCAGAGGATGTGGTGGGGGAGGGAGTCCAGCCTCTTCCTAACTTGGGGAGACTGCTGCTGTGTACACCCTCAAAGACAGGCTCTCCTACAGGGTTGAGAGACCCGGGATTGTCAAGAACTGACATATGACATTAAAGAGACAAGGGATTCCTTCCTCTTGGGGAGACATGTTTATAAAGCTGCTTTTACGAAGAGGCTATAGGAGAGACCTCCCTCCTCCCTCACCAAATCTTAGGCCAGCAAAAGCATTGCAAGTCGCTCTTGCAGAGACACAAACTATGTGTTGGCTTCTGGAGGAGAAAGAAGACCAGGGTCTCCAGTTGGGCCTCACCTTGCTTCTCATAACAAGCATCTGCTGTTTGGAGCCCCTGACTCCCCAGGCCTGTCTTTGTTTCTGGGGTTAAAAACTTCCAACCCAGAAGTACCCAGAATCCCTCACCAGCCAGTAACATTGACTATCTTAATGCTGATACCCCAGGACCCTGACGTCCCCAGAAATAAACCCCCGTGGCAGTGAAGGTTTGGAATGCTATACTGGGTTTAGGTCACATCAACCCCCAGTGCATAAAGACTTGAGTATCGACTTGTTCCTGCCCAGCTCCTGCCCTTGAACAGGTGCCGTCTGCTTGGGTGGCTAGCGAGGGACCGGCCCTAGGCCTGGGAAGGAGCCACTTCCGGCATTGATGCTGCCTCCAAACTGATGACCAGGGTCCAAAAGCCCTTGCAGGCTGTCCACAGAACAGAGCTGTAGCCCGTCGGCAAGGGACACTAAAACCATACCTTCCCTCCTCTGTGAGCAGTGCGGTAGGGCTAGGGGCTACGAAAGGCCTTAACGAGGTTCCAGGAGAGAAGCCGAGGGTTGAAAGATGGGTTGGGAGAGCTGGGAGAATGTAGAAAGAAGGAAGGGTAAGGTGGAGGGGGGGGGTCTGTGAATGAGGTTTATGGAATGTGTGTGAGAAGAGCCAGTGCAGGAAGGGACCTGGGAAAGCACCAAAGTTCCACAGCTCTGAGGATGGAAAGGACTTGTGAGGTCCATGCCAAGACCCTGGTACTCCTCAACCACCTGGACTCGGAGTGGACCCTATTGCCCTACAATTTTCTGTACCTCTGGTCCCAAGGAGTCTACAACCCATCATCCCAGCAGAGACCTCCCTCCTCAGTGTTTAGCATACACGCACATACAGAGAGTGTATAAAATACATAACTTCCCATGTACCCAGGGCCAGCAGCAGAAGTGTTTCTAAGGTACGCAGGTCAAACCTCACTTCACAGTCTGTTTCTGGTAGAGGGGTTAACCTGGTCCCTACTTAAACAAAAAAGCAAACCCACACAGTTCCCATTTTCAGTAAAACTAAAGGACACCCTGTGCCTTCTTCATACTGGGTTCTCAAAGCCAAACTACACCACCATCCATCAGACCTAGAAGAAGAGGGAAGAACCAAAGTGGGCAGAGCAGAAGTTCTGCCACATTGCTGTTGAA